GCTGTTAGCAATGCACATGACAATTAAAGAACAGAAGATATCATTAGAAAATGAACAAATCTGAGAGAGGTCCATATGTAGTACCTATATGTATAATATATCAAAGCAATTGGACTTGCGGTTTCCAACAAGAAGTCGAAAATATGACTTTTTACCAAAAATTACAAAAATATTCCCCAAAATTAGAGAATTAAAGATATCATTACAAAATGAACAAATCTGAGAGAGGTCCACATGTAGTACTTATATATGTAATATCAAAGCAATTGGACTTGCTGTTTTCAACAAGAAGTCAAAAATATCACTTTTTACGAAAAATGACAAAAATATTCACCAAAATTGAGAATTGAAGATATGATCATGAAATGAACAAATCTGAGAGAGGTCTACCCAAGGTACATATACACCAAGTATCAAAGCATTCAGGCTTGTAGTTTTCAAGAAGAAGTCGAAAAAGTAAAACATTGACACAGACGACCGACAATCACTCATATGATAAGCTCCGCTCGACAAAGTCGACAGCGGAGCTAATAAAAATGAAACACCAGTAGCTCGTAACAATTGTATTAATTTTTAATAAACCCTTATAAGGTATATGATAGAACTTTTATGAACTGGATATGGCTTTTGTGGCTCTTGGTTGTACGGCTAAGGTACCCTAGCAAGCTCTTGCGCTTCCACCATATAACCTCGGAATACAAAACCCAAATTTAGTCCATAATGATTACTACAGTATGCATACTACTTGATATGTCAAAGGCTTCAAAGACAATTTTATCAACAATACAACTTCAACTATATGAATACTAATGAGCTAATGAATATTAATGAGCCTGGTCACAGTGCAGATACTTTTTAATTCAAGTCAAAATATTTCCCAATTTCCAATAAGATCATCGTTACTATTGAAACACGAAAAAAAATATCTATTCATTTATTTAATAAATCAATAAATGTAGTATCCTGGTATTCGTCTGCAAGATGAGTGAGCCAAGACAAGGAAAGGTCAAATAAAACACATTTGAAACATTGCAGCCAGGAATAATGTTTCAAGAGTTTCCTGATTTCATGGCAAAAACACCAGTCCAAAAATCTACAACATAATTTTTTGGGGGATTGTTGTAATTTATTATTCATACCATTGGGTTCTAAAAACAATTACATTTGCAAGTAACGTGTCGCTGGATGCAGCAAGAACGCTAAATATTACCGGTACCAGAAAGAGGCCGCAGTTTCAGTACCTCAACTATATTACTGTTCAATTACGTTCTTCTTTTGGAGTTTTCACAAGCTCACGAGTGTAGTTTTTCGTATAGTTCTAAACTTTAGTCAGTTGACAATGAACATGTTAGACGAATTACATACTACGAAACGTTGCGTTATCTATAAGTCTACAAATTGAACTTGCTCAGTGACGCCTGATAAAATACAGCTCAGTGGTCAAGCCACATAACAAATGAACAAATAATATTTGCAAGCGATCATCAAGGTTACATGTGAAGTTTTCTGAAAGGCAGTGATCATAAAAACATGGATGTGTTGGCATGCATATATTTCAGTTGCAAACTGCGTGACAGTTTTTGAACGAGGTGATTAGCCATTTTTAAAAGGTAAAAGACGAGTTGAATGAAGAGTTGACATCATTCACAATTATTACAGTTCAAATATATTTTACCAACTCATGCAACAAAGAATGTCAATTTTTTTGAGTGATATATCAGGGTGGAAGTTATTGTGACAGAATTTTAGCTTTCAATTTAAGGACTTTGTGTATTGTCAGAAAGTGTTTACTTACAAATAATGAGGTGCTTATTTTATGAAATTGACTACCGGTAGTATTGTATACAAGTCGCTACCGCTATTCTCATCCACGACTGCCAGAATGCGTGCTGGTCGGTGCATGTTTTAATTAACAATTGGACAATTGTTCTGGTCGGAAGCGTTTACGTGGTTGTCGCTAATTCTGAGTACCGGGCGGGGCCGACCACTGCTGACCAACGCGGGAAAATCTCTGGTAATGTATGTAATCAACAATAATAAACATGTACTTACCAACACCATCTTTGTAGTCTTCTCTGGTAGTATAGCAATACTTGGCATCTGCATCACAAGGAATAGCTCTCATATTTTCATGCTTGCCCTTAATACCTCCACAGGAGTTGTAACCAACACCAACACACTGAAGACAGTCCAATGCATTAGCTAAAACAAATGCAAATTAATTCTGTAAAAGCTGTAAACTGAAATGGCTGATTTTATTATTCTAAAGCATTTGTAATAAACTTTATTTAACTAGGGAAATTAACATACTGTGAAATACTTTATTTTCGCTGGAATTAATTTTTGCTGAAAAGGCTTTTTGGACGTTTTGCTTGGAATTTATTTTCACTGATTTTTCATGAGTTTAATGTGAAATATAAGAAAAAAAGTATATTCGCTGGATTTTATTTTTACGGAATCATCCCTTCAGCGAAAATAGCGAAAATAAATTCCAAGCGAAAATAAAGTATTCTACAGTATAGCAAGTTTCTCTTATCTTCAGCTTGGGTGTCAAAAAAGATTACATACAAAACTAGACAAAATACTGGCAAAGCAAATACGAATTGAATCTAGTTTAAAATGCATCAACAAACTTCTTTATATATCTATGTTTAAAAATAGTGATACTATCAAATTGCCTAATTTCCTGTTCTAAACAATTTCATACACATGGGTAGATGTTTTTTTTTAAACTACCTTAAAACTGCTGACAGTCAAGCAGACTTTTGAGCCATGTGAGACACTACATCCAAGCTAACTTTTAACATTATTTTGTACTTTTAATTAATTTGTATTAGTTGTGATCTTGTACTCAATCACAGGGGTCGAAATACTCTGGTGCACACTGCACTATGCACATAGATTATTAGCTAGTGCAAGTAAACTCAAAATATAATGTGAACGCTGTGCATGTAGAAATTAACACAACATTTTCTCATTATATTCACTAAGCCTAAATTAAGTTCAACAAATATTGTAAGGTAACTAAAAAAAAAGCAAATTCTTTCGTGTTCACATTGATCGAGAACCCGTAAATTTTATTATAACTTTAAAAGTGGTGCATTTCACAACAATTTAGTGCAGGTAAATTTCAAATTCAACATGCACACTGTGCATGCAAGGAAAAAATTCTATTTCAAGCCCTGAATCAGGATTAAAAACCACATTGCATGCCAAGATTTTAAATATTCTAGATGAAAAACAAATTACCTGCTGAGCGACAATTTCCTAGACACTTATACATGTAGCTCATGGACTACTGATTTCGGACTGTGGCTCAATTTAATACATGTTAAAAACTTATTTTAACAGATACATGTACTACAATTTAAGAAGATGCCTTTAGCCATAGGATTTGTAAAAAATAACTACCGGTAACACAAAAAGATTGTTATTCAAAATGATTATTGAAATTATTACAGCACATAATTCTAGCTGTCCTGACCTACTTACTTAAACCCTTATCTGGTCAAGACAATATAACAGTACATGGCTTGGCAGGATAAGAGTTACAAGAACCGCTGTACACTACAGACAATGACAAAAAGGGAAGTATTTGAATAACAATATATAGTTGCCAGTGCTCCATGAGTGAAGGTACCAGTGACCTTTGAGCAGACTGTCCTTAAATTCTGCCCCGAGTGAAGCACCATAAAAAGAGACCTTGTTCTACATGTGTAAAATTTGATAGATTATCATAATTACATCAATAACACCATTGAATAACAAACACTCCGGGGATATCTAATTGAAAACTGAGAATGTACATGTAATTATACGAAATAGAAGAAGAAACTGCAAATTGTTTGGTTGATTATAGGGCACAGAGCTTCATTATTTGCTGTGCTGTGCTGTGCTGTACTTTGCTTATTCCCCAGATAGCTAATTGAGCTACTGTGGAATACTTCATTTTCACTGGAATTAATTTTCACTGAAAAGGCTTTTTGAGCGTTTTGTATGGAATTTATTTTCACTGATTTTTGATGAGTTTAATGTGAAATATAGGAAAAAAAGTATATTCGCTGGATTTTATTTTCACGGAATCATCCCTTCAGGGAAAATAGCGAAAATAAATTCCAAGCGAAAATAAAGTATTCTACAGTAAATTAAAGACTAGGGAATGAATAAATTCAACAACAGCATGTATTGTTTCATTTGTTTCATTCAAAAAACCAGTGAATTTAAAAACCTATTGAACATGTTGATAACATCAAATCAGCTAAAATTAAAATCAGTGTTTAACGATAGATAACTTTACAGAACATGTGAATGAAAAGCCCAGTCATGCAAGAATGACAATTCAATCATTAATCTAGATACCTCTGTATGTTACAAAAATCACAGCCCAAAGAACTACTAAATGATGGCTTTAACAATTTTATACAAACGTTATTTATTTTTTAGAGATGGTGTTTCTGAAATATAATATTGATATCTTCTAAGGCCAGACTTTTTTTATTACTTGTTTCTCAAGTTTTTATATAGCAATTTTTTTGAGGAGGGCGAAAATAAAATAAAATTAATTTTTTTTTTCATTAGATTTGTGTGCTTCTCAAAGACTTGTAAGTGAGATCATTGATCGGAGAGAAGAAATGAAATAAAATTGTATTCCATGTGTAACCTTGTTTTTCATCTGCGCGAGACTTCGATACTTTGATCATGATACTCCCACGAAAATGCAACTTGGATTTGTTATGCAGCGGGCGGTAAAAAAATAAAGATAAAAATAATATTTTTTTAGCATTTTTTGCGCTTACAAGTCGGCAGGCGTGAGAAATTACGCTGAAATTAAATTTTATTTTTATTTCATTTTCGGCTCCTGTTCATTCAGCGGTTTCGTGAAACAGGGGAAAATAAAAGTCTGGCCTAATGAACAAATAAAAACATCTTTAATTTTGTTCTAATGTGAATGGCCTTGGATCCATTATAAAATACTAGTGTTACCAAAGCACAAATGTTAGACAGGACCAAGCTTTCTTTGGATTTAATCACAGACCTGTCTATCACAGTTTATCTCATCAATAGTTTACATACAGAGCCTCAACTTTAAAATTACATATTCTACTAGGGTCATTTATGAGAATCATGAAATCTTGACAAGTACAGACTAATACAATTCTAAAGATAGCTACTGCCTTCACAGACCTAACGTTTATGCTGCCATTTACGCTGGTATTATGGCACAGCTTTTGTTGCATTCTCATCTAATGAAATAGGGGTTAGAGTCACACCTTATTGATATGGTAAATATGTAACATTCACAGTCAAGGGTACAAATTGTTGTAACTCAGAACCAGCTGAGCACAAACTACACAACTTACCTGTATAGAGTACTATGGAACAGAGTGTGGCAATTATTAAATATTTCATACTGGCACTAATTTATGAAATACCCTATAAAGATATAATAAAACGTAAGATTAATTTAGGGTCCCAGAGTTATTATAGAGAGAATAGTTTATATTATAGAGACATACACCTTTTTTTATGACATAAAGCCACATCACAACTATCCCAGGCATGTATACCCTAAATTGCTTTTAGTGAACGATGATAGATCATTAAAATATGACTTATTTTAACGCCTCTCATTTATATAATCACATGACCTTTAATGAAGCAAATACAGTATTTTTTTTAAACTACAGATACATCTGTCATCTACATAAAGCACATATGAACTACTGTGGAATACTTTATTTTCGCTGGCTTTTTGGGTGTTTTGTATGGAATTTATTTTCACTGATTTCTGATGAGTTTAATGTGAAATATAGGAAAAAAAGTATATTCGCTGAATTTTATTTTCACGGAATCCTCCCTTCAGTGAAAATGGCAAAAATAACGTGTTTTACAGTAACAGAGCAAACATAGTCAAAATAATCTTCATCTGACAAGGGTCAAAACAAATTAACATGGATTGTCTAAATCCATTTGTTTACTTGTTTGAAGGAAATTGAGCACAAAGAATCTTTAATTTTCTCTCAAATATTTTACATTGCTTTACATCTATAATCAATTGACAAGTCCAAATAACACTTGTGTAAAAAGGGAATACAGCACCGTGACACAAGTATAACGTAATGCTATAGAAACGATACGCTAAGACGATCTGTCACGCATTACAATACCATTAGCTACGTAATGAAAAGAAATGGGTCCAGGCAAGGTTTTTTCATTTCATTTCATTGAGCGGCAATCTCTCGCATAAATGTTACCGTCTCAATGTGTACATTGCTGAACATGGTCATAATGTGTCCTGTCATTTGTGTGTAAAGTGTTTATGAAATAGGGGCTAGGGCTACCTCAGTAAAAGGTCACCTACTTATTTAGAGTCTCAACTCTCAATCACTGTCACATGCCCAGTCGTTACCGAGCGTAAGCAGTCAACTTGTACATTAATGGTATTGTCAAAATTGAAGCTAATATTAAGAAAATGTTGATAAATATTGATAAATGATTCTGACAAGACACTAGCAAACGCATTTGATACGAAAATATACACATATGCCACGGTAGATATAGTATAACTGCCGTTGGTAGTGTTGGGGCTTTTTCTGATCAGCATGTCATTGACTGTCGGCCATGTTGCCTGCATTTGTAGATTTAGCGGACACTTTCATATCGCCATTCACAGACAGAAGCTGCATGACTTTGGCCCCAGAGTAAATCATTACGTAAAGAGAATTGTAAACTCACCGATTTTACCGAACTTGCCGCTATTTGAATGCTGGTCAAAAAAAAACGAAGGTCACCATGTACCGGAATACTTAATCAGATCGGGTGAAAGTGTATGCGCAGATCGCTTGACGCAGGTATATATACCACAATCCTTTGCGCGGGAGTGCGACAGACCCTGGCTAGTTAATACAGTTAATTTAGATATTGTGTACAAATTTAATTTCACATTCTTGCCACAAAACTGATTGATCTGTGATTTAACTGTTTTAAATATATATAAATACTAGTATTGTCAGCTTGGTTGCTTTTGATTATAGAATATAAACCGTTGATACAGCAAATATGTTGTATAACCACTCAACCCTGGTATATTGAAGCTCGTACTATGATGATACTACAGTCGTATGCGTGGAGGCGTGATTAGAATCCATAGAAATGAGAACATTATGTTTTTCAATATAAGTAGTGGCCTCTATGAAATTTTGTTTTTATCAAATACGAATAAAAACAGTTGTTATTTGTGAAAACGTTGTAAAATCAACGGTGGTCGCCGCGCAGTGCATGTTCGAATTTAATGTATTTAAACACAGTCCCTCAGGTGTTGAGGGACTGTGATTTAAACAATGCATTTTACACGCGCTGTTTACGTCGCTATGAATCCCACATCGAACAGGATGAGGCGTGGCGACCACTGCCTTTTAACTGACGCTTGGCTAAACAGGGGCGGATACAGAATTTTAATTTATGGGGGAGGGGATCCAAACTTTAAAATCGCCAGACCAAGTTAATGTTTTTTTTATATTATACAAAAACAAATTGAATATTTTTGTTAACGGGGGGGGGGGGGGCGTCCGCCGTAAAAAAAACCGTTACATATGTGTTACCCGAGAAGAAAGCCGAGTTTAGCGAACACGTTATTTGGAGCAGAATTCCGAGTTTACCCGGAACAAAGTTTGAAACTAGTTTGTGAATTTAAAACAAATTATTTTATTTAAAAATTGTTCTCCAACATGTTTAAAACCTTTTCTGTACACTTCATTTAATTTCAAAATATAACAACCATGGCACGACTGTGACTTTCTGGTGAACAAGTTTATCAAAATGTTCTGTGCCTTCAAGCCTTTAACGAGAATATACGAGAGCATACGAACAAATATGAATACTGGAAAATAGTTTTTTTTTTAGTTGGAATTAATTTTCGCTGAAAAAAAACATTTTGGATGTTTTGTATGAAGTTTATTTGAGTTTTAATGAGTTGAATGTAAAATATAGGGTAAAAAAGGTATATTCGCTAGATTTTATTTTCATTTAATTATCCCTTCAGCGAAAACAAATTATAAGCGAAAATAAAGTATTTTACAGTACTTTAATGAAATAGAATATCGAAAACAAATAAAATAACAGACAACAACAAGACAATTTGTTTATGATATATTATTTAACACAGTCCTAGATTTGGGATGAATATTTCTGTGATGAGCGTACTAGTGCGTCAATGTCCCCTTCACTTTGTGTTTAAAAATATAAATACACATGGTGGAGGCCCGACTCTCTGCTGACAGACTGATCACAGTCACGTGACAGACTCATGACAGATTCATGACTAATTACAAAACACATCGGTAGTGAACTAAACTTATACAAACAGGAATAATCTTCATATTGCGATGTTAACAGTCAATGGCTATTAATAAAATATGATATTAGATCACAATAAATGTATATTTTGACAAAACCATGAATTGGCAACTTTTATAACAACTTTTAAAACGATTTACCTGTACTAATATTTATTTCATTTCAAAGATGGCGTCACATTCATTTTAAAATCACACAAGTAATATCTACATATTCATGTCAGGTCTACAAACTGCCCATAAAACAATGAGTGGTGATAACAGTCACGTATGCTTCGTGGGGTTGTGTATTAGACTACAAAATTATTCCACCATCGGAGGGCACAAATCATAAGACGTCGAGTCGACATACAAGTGATGTCTGCTCATGCGCAATCATACACGTAACACAAGCTACTAGTATATACATTTGATGTGTTATTATATCTTGATTTTTTTTTCTGGGAAATGTATTTGTTCAGAACCGAGCTTGCACAATGATTTCAAAACGTCCGAGTGTCAATAATTTCAGCTCAAAACACAAATATAGCAAATACAAAAATAGTCAAAAACGCGGCGAACGCTGAAATTTGAAGTGTAGTAGATCCGTTGTCACGATTACAGCCATCTTGTTGACAAGAAGAGTAACAGGTGTTCAGTGCTTCGCCATTTTCTTCACCGAGATCACAGTAGTTACCGCGAGACACGAGACTGCAACCACGCTCATACGCAACGTGGGTGTCTGCAAGCAAAACACATCAATATATTACGGTCATATGACAGTTTCATTCGATGAAATTACGGCGTATCGCATTTACAGTAGTACTGTTATAGTTTTCGGGGGCTCGACAATTAGTGAATGACAAAAACATGTATATAAACCCTGCAAACACAGATGTTACAGTCATGACAACTTATGTTACTTTGGGCAAATTTTAAAGATTTCTACTGTTATTACTAGTAATTGTTGCCCAGGATAGTACCTGGTGCACTTCACTCATTTATGGTATTTGTGATTCACCAACACAATATTCCCAACAGAAGATTCATTTAAAATATAATTACCATGGGAGAGTTACAAAATAACAAAATTACAATACAAAATACATTGATTTACTGGTACGTACTCTTAATCCCAATTGTACGCGCATTTGTTCAATTAAAAACGCAAACTAGTCTGTATGGTCATATAATGTCATTCTAATTATCGTTGAAGATGCGATACGCGACGAAGATTAAGACTTTTCGTAAACACGCCATGCTGGTTACACATGCTATGATAGTTAATTAACTGGTCAACTTGAATGAGCGTGTTAGTTTACAAATTAAATTTGTTGTTTTTAAAATCAAGAATCACTTTTAAGAAACATTTGAGCTTCAAGGTGTCCCCTGTTTAGAGAAAGTCCATAATGAAGTAACTAAATCGAATGTCATGCGTTCACTTACATCTGCCTTCTTCCCTATCTTCTCTTGCTACAAAGCACCATTCGAACTCAGGAGGGCAGGGCATAGCCCCCATCTCGTCTTCTCGCCCCCATCTACCACCACAGTCATTATAACCTACTCCAACACATTGTAGGCAATCCAAACTTTCAACTAGACAAAAACAAAAATACAAGTTTAAACACTGCGACGTGAGAGAAGAATAGCGCCCCTAGTGGCACGTCCCGGTTTTACAGTCACTCAATGATTGATTGAGGGCGTAACATGGCATTGATAAGATCGACCTCGCCAAGCATAGACCGAACATTACAAATACCATACATACTAGGCTGTCACCACAGTGACGAACTTTCACCTAGGTTACACAATCTCGAAATAGAGTAACACTCATTATCCAGACATTTAGTCGGTACAAGATTGTACCTGATTGGCTACCCAACCCTAACACCTAACTGTTAGACTAATCAGAGATACTGTTACTTACAAGATTGTACCTGATTGGCTACCCAACCCTAACACCCAACTGTTACCCCAATCAGAGATATTGTTTGTTGACAGTTTGTATATACTAGTATACTTCGACTCAACAGCGCACACATATAAAATATCGTTGAGAAATGCCTCATTGTTGTTGGTGGTGTGGCTAAATTTGTCATAATTCGTTACCGGAGTGATATAATAATTTTTTTTTTCTAAAAAAAAAAATATCTCGTGTCGCTTTATGCATAATAGTTTGTCAACAAAATGTTATTCAAGATTGTTAACCATACTAACCTGTATGATGGGTAATAACAGCGAATATAACTAATCCTATGGCAACTTGTAACTTCATGTTGAAAATTATTGATTAACTTGGATAAACTATATAAATAAAATAATATAAGAAATGTATATGAATAATTAGCATATCATAGTATTATTAATAGCCACAGAAAAGGTGCTTATTGGATTCACAAACAGTGGACTCACAGTCCGCCATCACAATGAGTATGAGTAACAATATTTTCGATCTCCCCAATTTAAACCAACAGACAAACACCCCGAATAAGACAATGAAATACTGTTTTTCCGCAAAAAAAATAAATATTATAACTCCAGATTTTTTCTGAATTCCGAAGACATTTGATAGTAATTGGACAATTAGAGCGAATCTAGAAGACAAGTGGGAGCAGTGAGCTAGGCAATTATAATTTAGAATGCTACACAGCAGCTATGGACCCAACGCTCTATTGTGCCCATTCTTGTCACTTGTGGTCTTTTCAGCTTAATTCAATTTTAATTACTTTTTTTTTCACGATATTACTGTGCCGACAAATTAAAAAAAAAAGTCACGAAAGTCCAAAATCTCACAGAAAAAGAGCCATAGATGACGATAATAGGCACACGCAGAGCTATAGTCCCACAACTGTCATACAGCGAGCTCGGTGATTGGCCAATTTCTTAACTAAGTCATAAGTATTTTCACGTCATTCGTATTGGCTGTGAAACAACCTTGATCGTATGTTATTCACATTAAAGTTCCATTCCAAAAGGGAAGACCACATGAAATCGTTTTCATTACGTCAAATAGTCAAATTTCTCAAGTGATACAGTTTAAAAGATAAAAACAAATATTATTTGCACGTGACCATTGGAACAATATTTCGGATCAAAACCAACACGTGTAGAATCAGTTTATGTGTACAGGGTTGACACGTTTGATTGGTTGATCGGTTCATTGTGTCATGTACGAGTAACCCCTACGACTGCAATTTGTCATTTTCTAAGGGGTGAACCAATATTTCTGTTGGGCTATCTTAGTGACAATTGGGGATGGGTGTTTCCCCATTTTTTTGTGCACAGATCGCACCGAACTTTATTTTCTTGTCATTTCGGCATACTGTTTTGATACGAAGAAAACGGCCGGTCCCTCAGCGAGTTAGAAAGTTGTACCTATTTCGGGACGTTGTTCGGTTCAGCACACGTCATTAGAGTGTTTGCCAAGCGTCAATTAGGGTGGTTCTGAAGATAAATATGTATGAACTAATACACGATGTTCATTTCATGCTAAATACATATTTCTCTGTCGTAAATTGCAAAACTTCTGTTGAAAATGTAACTCTAATGTAAAGAAAGCGCGATTTTATACCGCGTATTTACACATTACTTGACCCAATAGTTCGTCGCGTCGACTGACATTGATATAAATCAGTGTATCGTTCTACAAACGAGGTCATTTATAACAAATTTTATCACAATTCTAAATAACGAGAAGCCAAATCACCAACCCAACTTCCATCGGCTTATCGGTGACAGTTATCAATTTGCTTCGGGCTTGTGGACCGTAGGTCAGAGTCACCGCTACAGCGCGAGCCAGGGCAATAAAAATAATATATGGGGTATTAGGTATTATTATATCTTGAACATTGAAGACAACACATTCAACAGAAAGTCAAAGCTTATTTATAATGCACCTTGAAGCTCGTAAAGCTACTGACGTCACTCCACTACACTGAAAAGTAGGTAACATGCACACATGGCTTTGTTTCACAATCTCTCAAATCGACCTCGGTATTTGGTGAGTTGCGATCACGAGGTCAAAGGCATCCCGTACTAAATCAACCTTACTATAGCTTTTTGCCAGAATCACAAAACACTTGTACCGGTTTGCAGATTTACAGTAATATTGGCGATCGTCTATATTTGTATAGAAAGAAGTGGGTTAATTAATGTTTTCCAGGCCAGTTCTATTGAAAAGCCGGATCGCCTCGACATCGTTCGGCAAATCGTGTCATCCGATCGCCTTCAATGATGAAGCCCGTACACTCATATCACTTTAAACAATATTCCCAACATCTAAGTATATCAAATAACATTGGTTATAAGGCCAAAGTCATTCATATGCCGACCACCTGTTAAGCTTTTCGTCGAGCGGTTGTTAGCATTTTGCATAAGTTATAGCCGCATGAATACTATCAACAGTTTATTAAAATTATACAGTGTTTTGACAAATTTCTGAATCATAAACTGTCTCTGTAGAGATTACGTACATAATTGGTAATACTACTCACCTCAGTGTTGGAGTAACTTGTAATAAAATGGCAACACGCTCAAGGGAGGTCACCCACAAATATGATTAGAATTTTCCACTCTTATCAACTTTATCAAGTTTAAACATTAACATCAGTATGCCAGATAATAAGTTCTCGCGAGATCTTGAGTGTCACGGTTGGCCTGTAAGCACAATCACAGTGACATATGAGGAACAGTTCAATTGAACAAATTGAACAAATCAGCGGGCGGGGGAGAAAACTGCGAAACTTGTAAATACAAGAAAAAGTACTCCGAGTATGTTCAAAATTACAAAATACACTACTTCGGCAGAGAACATAAACAGGGTCACCATCATCATCAAATTCTGCCAACAGTACCATTATTCCAGTATGGCCGTCTGGCAGACATATTTGTCAAATCAATCAAACGGAATCAAACAACAACACTTGTAATGAACTCATGAAAAACATTATTGGATGATATAGTATCTCAAATTGCTTACGAACATAACAATGTTTACTTACGTGAATTTCTTTTTTTAAATATTTTTCAATAGCAATAACAAGTACATTATATTGTATTACTAAGGCCAGACTTTTATTATCCCTTGTTTCGCGAACGCACTGAATATACAGGAGCCTAAAATGAAATAAAAATAAAATTTATTTTCAGCGTAATTTCTCGCGCCCGCCGACTTGTAAGCGCATAAAAATGCTAAAAAAATATTATTTTTATCTTCATTTTTTTACCGTCCGCCGCAAAACAAATCCAAGTTGCATTTTTGTGGGAGTATCATGATCAAAGTATCGAAGTCTCGCGCAGATGAGAAACAAGGTTATACATGGAATAAAATTTTATTTCATTTCTTCTCTTCGATAAATGATCTCACTTACAATTCTGTGAGAATCACACAAATCTAATGGAAAAAAAGAATTAATTTTATTTTTTTTCCGCCCTCCTCAAAAAATTGCCTTATAAAAACTTGAGAAACAGAGAATAAAAAAAGTCTGGCCTAATTTCGTTGAAAATTTAAACGTCAAGGTATGTAGTTTTAGGAACAGTGTTGTTTCAAATATATTTAAAATGTTAATGGACGACTAGCAGTCATATTGCTTAACGAGAAAACAGTTGTGTTTTGTTGGCATTATTATAATACACGTTGTAAGGGTTTGTAACCGATGTCCTCTTGCACATATACTGATGAAAATATTGCAATAGAAACGGGGCTAGAAAATGATTCCAAATATAGAATATTAAAATGTACCAACAATCGTTATAAACTAGAAGACCAGTAACCATAACATAAACCAGTGACATAACGACCATTTGAAATGGAATCCAAGCAGACATTCAAATGAGACATGCACACCTGTAAGGCGCAATCGTTTTATGGCGTGTCAGCCTCGCTTTTAACGATAATCTATATTTAGCAGATATTTGCTGAACTATTATTAGAATCAGCGTTAATAGCATCACAATTTGGGTTACAAAAATAAATGATTTTTTTAAAATTTGTAATTATGTTGATTTACTGTATATACCTGTTTGGTGCGTGTTTGTGTCTATGATTAGTCATTTACTTGTGGTATTTCAGATAATTAGATTTTCATGAAAATGGCATTTTTAGGTCACCATGTTTCATGTCAGTATAATTTTGGACTATGGAGACAGCATCTTATATTAGTTTAAATTTGTAATCGATGTTTTGTTAATTTTCATCAAGATTTCTTGCTGGAAGGAGGAACTGTTCAGGAATATTTTGTGAATTGTGATAGTCGAAGGGTTAAAGCGGGGGAGTCGTCACTTGCGCATGCGTCAAATGGCCATAGCGTGTCATTGTTTACAAACAAGCGTCTACCCATGAGCCTTTGCGTTTTTAGCGTGTGTTGTTATCGTCGCTTGGGACTCAATTCCCGCGCGTGCTCAGGTGACGACCCTCTCGCTTTAATATCAAGCTTTCATGGAAATGGAGGCCTTTGGTCATGATCCATAATATACCGACAGGGACGCTCTTTAGAAACGCAATTCTATTATTTGGTTCGTTGCCCGCTGAGAACCAAAATAAAAACAGTGTTCATGAAAGTTATTGAATTTTTTTACTTGTACGATGGGTTCAGTTGTACCTACATGTATTACAATGCAAAGAAGCTGCTCGATTAAAACGTCTGATTGTGGGAATGGGGAATTCATGTACATTGTAGTACGGAAAGGGGGAGTGGAAAATTGAAAAGGATGGTAATGTGAGGGTACTTTCTGAATAAAGCAGAATGTGTACAGCCGAATAGCTTCTGGGATACCATAATTCAATTCAATGATGTTAAAATGAGCATGCTCATACTGCTGGTGTAAACTGTCTTGCATCGACCGGCCATCCCGGCCACTCATAACCGGCCCACGGAACGTTGAGGCTTCGGCTGAATAAATGGTTCTTGGCTGGCGAAGATGACTGTCTAGGTGATAGAGATTTACGTGTCACACCACAAATATATTCTCTGTGTTAAACGATTCGAGGAAATGAAATACAAGTGCATTCTTATCGGTGCCATCACTATAAAGATAATACTCAACTCAAACCGTTCTGATAACCCACCTGTGTACTACACCGCTAAATAAACTTTTGATCGTTGGCTTCGATGGATTCTTACACAATAATACGAATCGCTGTCTTTAGTGTGGTTCAAATAACTCGTGAACGAAGAATAATATCTAGCACGTATGGCCTGTACTTACCACAGGACTCTGAACAACTGTTACAAAGCCCACATTTATGTAAGCTTTATATAGGTTGGATGATTGATCTTCATAAATGTAATGGTAGTTATACATATTTATTAGTTTCACGTACATTGAATGGTGTTTTGATTCCAGTCTAAACTCTTTTGAAAGTGTGTTAAATAGATGGATGAAGTAATGTCTTTCGTCTGTGTAGTTGGTCATCATTTAGAAAAAAAATCTCCCAAAAGCACGATTTGTATCAAGTGTTTATTGCTTTGTCGCCAATTGGCGTTATTAATTAGGTCATGATGTTGGTAGACGGAATATGCTCTTCCCAGCACAGAGTTTTTGGCTTTGTTCGCCTTCCCAGTTCAATTTCTTCAAGTTAATTATGATTACATATCTGTCATTTAAGCAAGTGGCATGCGCCACTATTATTACTATCGAGACAACCCTATTTCATTCTGACTAGCGTGCACGCTTGGAATGATTGCGAAAACAGAAATAAGCGAGAATATGGCGATATTCAAAAACTGAAAACTCATAATACACATTTTGCGAATAAGCATTTTAACACTGACAGAGGCAGTCTAGGCGAACACCAACCAATTCTTTCACAGAATCAATTATTCGCATTGGCTATTATGCGTTTTTGCAATTCTCGCGTGATCATCGTTGCATACCACACCATACGGCATGCCCTCATCTTATGAATCCCCGATTACACCTGATGTAGCCAACAAAACTATAATATTGATGTGACAGGAAATGCGGTACCTTAAATTAGAAGTTGAGTGACCCCACATCTGACGAGATGTCGCTTGGTATTTACTTAACATGTAGGCGTGGAGACGAATCTATGTATTATTATTTAAAGTTTATTCCGTTCATTGGGGAAGTGTGATCATGACGTACCGTTTAGTCAGGGTGACCACGCTTACACTAAATATAACATTGTACATCCATGAGGGTAGATATCTAATCAGACCATGCGTTTTACTTGGGTTGAATACACACTTTGTCGTGTATTTCGGACATGCAGCGTCCGGCTTCGCTCAGAGTGAGAGTGTGTACTCGATGCCATGTATTCGTTAACTCATATGACAAACGCATATTAAAAACAACCCTGACATGGTGTCTTTTGATCAATACACAGAAAAGCCATTGGAAAACAACCAAACTATACCAGTTTTAATCATGTGACCCATTGCATGTTTGTTCCTGTAAATCCACAAGTTTCTTTATGCTAATTGTAAACCGGTCACACGAATGACGAAAAATTGTCATTCCAGCTCAGCAGCCAATCAGCGACGGCGTTACGGTTAGATGACAATTTCGGTTTCAAATACCCCGGCTTAGTGTTCTATGTTCTTCGCGTAATTAGGTGTTCGTATGCAAGGGATTTTTCCACACTAAACGACGAATTCGTTATCGGTTGGCTTAATATAAGCCTAACGAATCGTATTTCTGTGAAAGATTGGCATTTTTATCCTGATTTGTAGGAATCTGAAAAACGCGTTTCACAACTTGTCTCATATTTAGTTTTATACCGCATTCAAGATGGCGGCCCCAATATAGTAAATATCGCATTTATTTTAATATCACGTGTGCGTCAGCTGACTATGTGTAATTCCTACAGTCCATATGCAATGTGTAAGCGTTACAGAATAACTGTGATATAGTTTGTAAAACAGCAGTCTTAGCTACATAAATTTGGTAAATCAGACTCTGTACCTTCACTAAAATTGAACAGCTTTTAGTCATGCTGCAACATCTGGAGCTGAGGAGGAGATAGAGTTCTTATTCTCGAGCAAATAACGATACATCTTTTGTATTTCTATAAATAAACATTGATTCTGCACTGTAAACTGGCAATGTGATGACTCTTTCAATTTAGTGTGTTTACACACTTTTGTGCAAGTGTTTCTTATACTAAACCAATCTAGTTATTTACACCATTCAGCACTGCGTAAACGAGCATATACCGTAACACACCTTTATGCAAGTGAATAAACTATTCACAAAAATACAATAATTGAATGTCAAATTTACTTGCCCTTCCTCCTACATTAATGAATTTGTTCCTTAAGTGATTGCAAGTATGGCCCGGCTGTCCAAAACTCACAAATTACTAATTATAAAAATCTCAAGTGTTGCCACTCCTTATAAAGAGAAATGACTAGTTTTTTCACTGATCATTTAATGTCAGTCATTATAAGCAGCAACCACACAACTCATAACATACAGTAATGACAATACAACCACAATGTATTTAAAAATCAGTTCCCAATAATTTACTTTATTTCAAAATACACCTTAATGGCCCATTGTTATTGACAGACAACTCGCAATGTTGCATATTGTAAAATACTTTATTTAGCTTGAATTAATTTTTGCTGAACAGACTTTTTGGATGTTTTGTATGGAATTTATTTTCACTGCTTTTTGACGAGTTGAATAAAGGG